TAGTGGATGAGTAATGCAGATATCACTGTGTAATCATTTGACAGTGAGGGGAATACTTCCGGTTTTATTATGAAAACTTTGAGACCGGAAATACTATTTTCACTCACGCTAACTTTACATGGAAGCTGCCGCATACACGTTCTCCTGGCGAGACCTCAAATCATCTTCGTAATATCTATCAAACTATAGATCCTACACATCCACTGGACTTAGATTCTAAAAGTACAATATACACTTCTCGCTAGAAATCTAATCAAAAAGCATTTTAATGGCCAAACTATTTCACAATTTAGGATTTTCCAGAGAGGGTTATTTGTGAATAAACGACCCTCCGGAGCGTTTGCAATCAACGGGAGCATGTTGTTTCTTACATGACCACTAGAGGTGCTACACTTTAAAACGTGACTCTGGGTCGTATTTAGCTGCTGAACAATCGACCTATATATATGGTCGTTTTTTGTAGGAGGCTGTATTGTCATCACTTTGTGCTTCCAACCCAACTTCTCTCTCTAAATGCTTCTCCAGTGTAAGAACTACATCCATCTACTTCCACCATAGCTCCTGACATACAACGGGTATTTGGCAAATGTCAACATAGGTTAATCCTGTGTTGTCCAAAGTTCCATATCCTATGGCATTGTATCGTTCCTCTGAATTAGCTGTCAAAAAGCTGCATGTCATGTAAGCCCTCAGCTTCTTCTTGCATCATATACTTGACGGACATTTTCTGTGCAGTAACCGCTGCAGGCTCCCATCTGCCAATACCCGAGTCAGTTTATCATTCACAGGTGGTGAATCAGCCCCTTTAAAGTTTTGTATTCTTTCTTGTATTCTAAAAATAAAACATTGTTTATCTATAATGCCCCCGGAACAAGCACTTTGTTTTCAAAGATTTTGGAAAATGCCTATCGGAATAAGACACAGACTTCTGAAAACCAAAGGTTTGTATTAAATGTGTTTATAGTTCCAACATCCCTCTAAGCAATCCATGGATTCTGGGCCATTAAAGAATATAATACTAACATTTTTATCTACAAAGGCAATGATAGTAAAACTCATATATTTATTTCAGCTTGGCATCCCGCTTTTTTCTTTAGCATATTGTCTTATCTTTGCTTTAGAACCATCTGCTGCGGGTGCACTTGTTGCCTTTTTGGCATATGCTGGATTTATTGCCAAAATTGTCGATGCTTTTATTCTGAATAATTCACAGGGAGCTTAAGTTTGGTGAATAGTTAGAAGAATGTCAGTATCTGGATACACAGGAACTGAATCTCACATTAACTGACTCCTTCTCTAACCACTTACCCAGACACAGCACTTCTACAGTGTCTATTTGTGGTCAGATTTTTCAGTTTGGACACTTGTGTCATTCGGCCCCTGCACTGCTGTCAATGCCCTCTGAACACTCAAATGACATCACTTCCCAATTACATCACCCGGTCTTTGCGGGCAAAAGAAACACATAAATGTCATGGGCCGCTGAATGCTTTGACTTTGTTTCTGATGAGAGTGAAGAACACAAATGGTCTGAGGGCCCGTGTGACAATACGTGCGCACGTACACGCACATGTTGGGGCACACGTGAGCAAATTGTACTTTTGTGTGATTTCCCAGTAGTGCGTTCCAGTGTTTATGTATTTGTGTGTGTTTGACAGAGAGAGAGAGAGAGAGGTAGCAGCTGTAGGAGCCAGGGGCCCCGGGCTCCAGAAGACGTCAGACCCAGCTGGACGCCTCCAGGGAAGGTCAGGCTGGGCTGACAGCTTCCTGCGGCAGATGAGAGAGCAGACGTGGCTCTGCCTTTCATATCCAGCTTTTGTGGATGTCTCTGAAAATGGCACAACACATCACATCAGGTTTCATCTGTTATTAACACCTCTCAAGGGTTTGTTCAAGGTGTGTCTAATAGAAGGTGTGTGTAGGTGTGTAGGCATATGTCATCACTTCATATAACAAATGGCAAACTTCATTGTGTTAAAGTTACAGTTACACCCCAAATCCAAAAAGACATATTTTCCTGCTTATCTGTAGAGAAATGTATAGAGATAGATCGAAGTAGAGATGTCTGCTGTTTCTTCGACACAATTAAACTAGATGGCACTCGGCTTGTGGTGCCAAAGCTGCAAAAAATGTTTTTGGGAAACTCAAAAGACGTCTCTATCCAGAAAATATGAACCCAGTTACTCTAGGTAATCCACAGACCTTGCACTTTTTATTTCAACCTTACTAAAACCACCAACCGCCTCATCACATAGAAGGTATTGTTCATCTCTCTTTGACAGGAGGGTCTTCTGATCTCACATGAGCTAAATAGCCAAGGAGGATACCAATAATCTTTGATTAAGAGTACACTCTAAAAACGAATTCAGGCGACCTTTCACCTCCACTTAATTAAATGCATGATTGCAAGATAAAAATGTGAGTTAATTGATTTAGATAAACATTTTAAGTTGCAAACATTAATTTATAAGTTGTGTTGATGTAATAATGTTGGTAATTACATCAACTTAATATTGTGTGTAATTTGAACTCTGATTTCTGCGTTAATTGACTTAAAACTAAATTCAAGTTGTAGTAAGTAATGCAATTGGCTTCATAACTTAATTGTTCTACACCTTGAATTAAGGATTTCAAGTCCACTCCCACTTAACATGCCTGGAAAGGTTCCGACAGTTAAGACAAATAGAAATATACAAGGGACATTTGAAGGTGAGTGTCATCTTTTGTCATTCAAATACAGTAGTGCACTGTATAGGCAGATTGCTGTTTGACCAAAATTAGCAGCCTTTGAACTGTGAATAGTTATGTGAGAGGTACAAACTAGTAGAGGCTACTGTGAGAGTAAAAATACTTTAGTTACTACTGTGATATCGCTTTTTATTCAAAATGAATCTCGGTGAAGCAGATCAAGGACATGCTTCTTGAGGTAGGATCGTTATTTAGAGTTGTCATTGAAATGCAAGTTGTTGGCAGTCACCCATTCAGAACATATTAATTTAGGTAATTTCTCTTTTTTTCCTTTTTCAAAAATAGCACAATACAATTGAAGTACGCAGAGAACTATAGCCATCCGCTGCCTTGTCGTGTACCTTGGAGAAAAGGAAGAGGACCTTTTCAAGGAGTTTAGCGATGTAATAAAAAATCTTGAAATAAAATAAAATCCATGGGCACAGTGTAAAAACACAGGACAAAAGCACTGCTCTCTGTCAGTTACATTTTGAAGAATATTGCACTTTTGGCCACACCCCAATCAATAATATCTTAGCAACGTTCAGCATGCATGGATAGGTGTTGACAGCAATGGCATGGGAAAAAGATTGTGTAACATTTGAAAAGTGGCTTCTGCTCTTCACTTAACCAGTTCAAATATTGTATGGAACCTGCAAAAAAGATGAGAAGATACACTAAAACTTGCACGGTTGTGATTGACAAAATCTGTCCACATGTATTTAAACACTAGGCAAAATACTCAAAACCACCTCTGTGTGTCTTCAGGACCACATTGCCATGACGACACACACATGCAGACTCAATAGGTGAAAACAATACCAGCGTTGCTTTAGCAGCTGGCAATAATGGCTCTGAATTCGCTAAGAGTGACAGTTTAAAAAGTATGCAATTACCTAATTCATTATCTCTTATGCGCTAACCTATTATTTAATGTGCTTCAAAAGGACATGAATATCGCCTTCATCAGTGACCGGTCCACCCCAGGATCTGACCATACGATGGCAACCATCGTGGTCGAGGGAAACAAATGAATGAGCAAGCATTCTGCGTTAAATGTGTTCATACTGTTTGAAATAATGACTGTCGGCAGTGTAAACATCTTTGTTACATCTTTTGTAAAATTGATGTGTGTGATCTGCAGATTGGTGGCCATTGAGAGTTTGTTTCTGTAGTTTTACAAAAACTTTACAGATTTTACATATTTGGCACTGGTTTTAAATATGCAAAGGCCTCTAACTTCGNTTTGGGTTCCAAATAAGTTGATTAATGTAAGTAATTCGTCTCCAGTGTCTTTGGCTGTTAAACCGCTGATATCCTAAAACTTGAATACCGACCCCAGCTTCCCTTCGAACAATGGGCCCCGTCCTGTGCGCCACAGCCTTGAGTCCAATGTTCGACAACGGATCAGTGGCCATAATTGGTAATAATCCTCGCGCGATCTCCAGCTACTTTCCCCTCAGAAAATCGTCTCTTTTCACGAGCGTGTTCTGTCCTGTCTGAATCAGCATCATTAGCCGACGCCAGCTCCCTGTGTCCAGTTAACCCCTGTAATGGGAGCCTGGACACTGGACTAAGAGCCAATTAGATTATTTTAAAACCGAAAACGCCAGCTCCCCGAGTACCTGTGGCATACGGACCGACATCCAGCCCTCGTCTCTCATGTAGGCTGTCCAGTATAAAACAGAGCCAGCTCACCCAGGGTTCTGTTGGCGAACAAACCCACTCAGTGTCGTGGAGTCCCCGCAGACGCCCCTTCTGCGGGGTCCCTGCCAACCCCTATGTCCCTGAGCCGTTTGGAGGTCCCGCAGACTGCGGCTTTCTGCCGAGGGTCCTGCCAACTCCATGTCTTGTCACGTTGGAGGTCCCGCAGACTACTCTTCTGTCGGGGGTCCTGCCACTCCATGTCTGCGTCAAGTTGGAGTCCGCAGACTACTTCTTCTGCCGGGTGGTCCTGCCAACTCATGGTCTTGTCACGTTGGGATCCCGCAGACTGCGCTTCTGCCGAGGGTCCTGCCCAAACTCCATGTCTTTGTCACAGTTGGAGGTCCCGCAGACTACTCTTCTCTGCCGGGGGTCCTGCCAACTCCATGTCTGGTCCCTGTTGGAGGTCTCCGCAGACTAACTCTTCTGCCGGGGGTCCCTGCCAATCCCATGTCTGAGCCGTTGGAGGTCCGCAGACTGCTCTTCTGCCGGGGGTCCTGCCAACCCTCCTGCCTGGTTCCCCGTTGGAGTCCCGCAGACACTCTTCTGCCGGGGTCGCCAACCCATGTCCTGAGTCTGTTTGGATGGTCCCGCAGACTCCTCTCTTGCGGGGGGGTCCTGCCAACTCCATGTCCTGTCCGCGTTGGGTGATCCCGCAGCTCTCTTTCTGCCGGGTCCTGCCAACCCATGTCCTGAGCCGTTGAGGTCCCGCAGACTGCTCTTCTGCCGGGGGGTCTGCCCAACCCCATGTCTGTGCTGTTGGAGGTCCCGCAGACTACTCTTCCTGCCGGGGGGCCTGCCAAACTCCATGTCGGTCCCGTTGGGAGGTCCCGCCAGACTACTCTTCTGCCGGGGGTCCTGCCAACCCCATGTCCTGAGCCGTTGGAGGTCCCGCAGACCTGCTCTTCTGCCGGGGTCCTGCCAACTCCATTGGCTTTGCCACGATTGGAGTCCCCGCCGACTACTCTTCCCGCTGGGGGTCCTCCCAATCCAAATGTCCTGTCGCGTTGGGGATTCCGCGACTGCTCTCCTGCGGGGTCCTGCCGGTCCCGTGTGTCCCTCTTACCATGGGGTATCTTGTCTTGGCGACACCGGCTCCTGACAGGCCTCTCCGGAGCTGTCTGGTCTTCCACCCCTCCTCGGACTCTGCCTGCCCCCGGGCCCGTCCGCCCGAGATTCCCTCCTCGGACTCTGCCTTGCCCCGGGCCGTCCGCGGCGAGATTCCCTCCCCTGACCCCTGCCTTGCCCCCGCGTCCGCCGAATTCCCTTTTTTGAACCTCTGCCTGCCCCCGGGCCGTCGCCCGAATTCCCCTTTTTTTAAACTCTGCCTTGCCCGCCGGGCCGTTCGCCCGAGACCCGTCCTCCAGACCCCCTCCACCCCCACCCTGCTTGGATTTTTAGTTTTTTTGGGACGTTCCTGGAATCCGTCCTCTTGAGGGGGGTTAATGTCACCGATTCTCATTGTTATGTCACGTTTTATGTTTTTGTAGGTTTGGGTGTTTTTGCTGTTTTCATGTCAATGTTTCCCTTTGGGTTATTGTTCTTGTCATGTAGCTTTCCTGGTGTGTCTAAATTGTCTGATTATGTTCACCTGGGTCCCTGGTGTTTCTCCTCCCTCTCACCTGTGTCTTGTTGTGTGGATTGAGTCTTGTGCTGTATTTAAGTTCTCGGGTTGTCTCGTCTGGTCTGTCAGTCGTCTTTGTTCCCTGACTAGTTCTGCGTGAGTGTTCCTGTTTTGCCATTGTCTATATATACTCATCCGCCTTGAAATCAAAGGAAGTTCTTCAGCATTGAATATCTGCATTGGTCCTGCTTGTTTCACAAAACCGTGCACAACAATAGCATCCGATTACCATGTAAAGTAAATCTAAAGACACGGATAGATGCAAATTCGTTCTGGCGGCCCAAATGATGCGATTGACGCGAACTCAAGCGTCACATTTGCGCTGACCGCCGTTTGCTGACAACACAACCTTCATCGGCCAGATCACTCGACGGCGGACGAGACGGCGTACGAGAGGAGGTCGAAACTCTGTTCTGGTGCCAGGATAAACAACATCCATCTCAACGTCAGCAAAACCAATGGAGCTGATTGTGGATTCACAGGGAGCAGCAGAGAGAGGGAATCACGCCCCCATCGCCATCAATGGGATCTATGGTGGAGAGAGTCAGCAGCTTCCAGGTTCCTCGGTGTCCACATCACTGAGGAACCTGAACATGGAATCTTCACTGCGAGGGACCTGAACATGGACTCCTTCAATGAGGAACTGACATGGACTCTTCACACAAACACCATCCCAAAAGAGCTCGATAGCGGCCCTTCTTCCCCGCAGGCTGAGAGTTCAACATGACTCCGGATACACTCTGTAACTTCTACAGGTGCACCATAAGAGAGGATCCTGAAACCCCTTCCTAACATGGTGCACCATAGAGAGCATCCTGCTTCTACAGGTGCACCATTAAGGAGCTCCTGACCTTCTAACAGGTGCACCATAGAGAGCATCCTGACTCTACAGGTGCGCCATAAGAGAATCCTGCCTGCTGCATCAACGGTCTGGTACGGCAGCCTGCACGCCCTCAACCGTAATCTTTACAGAGGGTGGTGAAAACTGCACAGAACATCACGGACGGAGCTGCCATCATGGAGGACCTTTACTCCCAGCGGCCTCAGGAAGAAGCCTCCAGGATTATCAAAGACCCCCATCACCCACCAGCCACAAACTGTTCCTGTCTGCTGGCCGTCTGGCAGCGTTACCGTAGCATTCAGGACTAAAACCACCAGTCCTCAGGACAGTTTCATCCCACAGGCTGCTTCATCCTACTGCTATTTATTAAATGTTTTACTTTATTTTTGCCCTTTTGTTTTGTGTGTTTTTTCACCATTGGTAAAGTGGTCTTGGGTCCCTTGAAAGGCACTATAAAAATGCACTTATTATTAGGGGTGCACCGAATGGGAAATTCTTGGCCAGAAACCGATACCGACAAATAGGAAACAGTTGGCCGAACAACCCGAATGCCAGAAAGGGCCGACAAATGATTAATGAAATATATATATATATAATGTATAATTTTTATACCAATGTTGTTCAGCTACCTGATATGGAAATAAGACATGGATAATGCAAAACTTAACTTAAATAGTAAATCCACTATTATGGGTCCATAAAACATTCTATTCAGCACTTTGAATGCATACAGTACATTAATTCCAAGTCAAGTGCATTTTCTCTGTAGGATTAACTACAACAAACGTGCATTCAGAAACAAAGCAAGGTCATAAACATCTAGGCCAGTAAGGCCGCAACAAAATTACGTGTAAATTAAAGACTGTAACAGCCAGGCCTTCAACAACAACAAATGCACCTATAAGTGCATGCATACCAAATGTTGCAAACTGGATAAATCCCATGAATGTAACGATTTACACAAATGAAATTACAATTGAATTTCAAGAATCTGTAAATAAGCTTGTCTGTCCTCATAAGCAAAGTAGTAAACATTGTATAAACAGATACATAAAGTGAAAACTGGACTACAAAATCCACAAATCAATTATAAATTAAATTACAATTTCAAGAATCTGCAAATAAGGTGGTCTGTCCCCATAGGTCTGTCCTCATGAGCAATGTAACACAACATTGATCATTTAGATACCGAAAGTACAATATATTGAACACTGTGCTGCGTCATTTCCCCCTAATGATAACCTGAGATGGTGAATTATAGAATCAGCAATGAAAATTGTTCAGGAAGTGGTATAGAGTAGACATGTAGAACTACGATACAGCCTTATGATTAAGCCAGCCTTGTCTACTGTATTAAGGAAAGTTGGAGGTTCTTTTTATCAACAGTACTTCTCTGCTTTATCAGCCATAAGGTCTGTTCCTCTTCCACCCTCATCAGCCACTGAGAGGCAGCGCTGAACAGTCTCTCGCTGTCATGCTTGTGATTGATCCTTACTCCGCATATTTGTCCCGGGTGTTTGTTTCAAGTGGTGGAGTTATATCCGAAGTGGTGAAAGTCTTTGCAGTTACACCCCCCTCGAGAATGTCAGCTGAACACGTTTTACAAATCGCAACCGCGCCTCTTTCTCGATATTTAAATATCTCCAAGCGCAAGACATGTTGCTGCGTGACCAGCCGCGCATGGTCGCGCACCGTGCTTGTCGCGCGTTTTGATTTAAACGTCCATCACAACAATCACGTTAGCTTACCAACCGTAACCCTGTTCCCTGCTTCGGTGATATTTTTTCGGTGCTAAAACCTTTAGCGCGAAAGCCGAAAGAGCCTTTTTTAATACCATTTTCGGCCGGATAATTTTCGGCGGCCGATATTCGGTGCATCACCTACTTATTATTATTATTATTATTATATTTATTAATATTATAATAAGAGTGTTAAACACCTGAACTTTTGAAAGAACATACATAGCATTCATCTGTTTGCCATTTATATATATCAATATTCCAATTACTTGTATAAAGACTATTCTGCACTATTTCTATTATATTCTATTTGATTTTATTAACCTGCACTATTTTATCTGTTTTATTGTGTTGCACTGTTGACCTAATATTTTCATTGTCATAACTACACTATGTACAAATGACTTGAATCTTGAATAATAACGTTATTTCTCGGCCTTGAAGCCAAAATAAATGAATATTAATAATCATAAACGTATAACGACTATTCAACAAATTGACAGAATTGACAGCAAATGGTTGACTAGAAAAATCTTAAGTTGAGGACAGCCCATATTTTAACACTTCAAGAAAGCTTTGCATAGAAAAAACACAGACCTGATGTGGTGCTACAGATTGAGAGGAAGTTAAACAACTACAAAGTAAAGAAGAAGCTGGACTCACCTCACACTTACCGTCCACGCAGACGCCGCGGTAACTGCTGTACTTGCAGGACGTGCCGTCTCGTGCCGTCTCCATCAGCTGCCTCTGGCCGTCGGCCGTGGTGCAGTGCAGGTCACAGGGGTTACTGGAGATGTGAACGTAGTCGTCTGTGTGAGGAACACAGGGTGAAGGTTACTGTCTTTAGAAGCAATAAAAGACTATTTACTTTTACTGACATACGGCTAATTACTGCTGTTTTATGCTAGATGTTAAAACACTCTCCAACCATTGCTGCCAACAGAAAATCTGACACCAAAACCTAAAAAGGGTTAAAACTCTGAGAATGTATCCTTTGATTGACTGACTGCCAAATTCAATGCAGGAACCATGGGAAAGGAACATTAACCTTTAGTTTAAACCCATTTTTGGCAACAGACTATATTAATATAGTTAGAAAAGGTAGAGATCTGGTATCGAACAGGTCAACTTTGACATTTTTAGATTACATGAAAAATCACATTTGCGAACAGGCACAGTCAAGATTTCTTTTAAAATTTAGGAATTGTGACTAATTGTTCAAATTATTACATTTTGTATTTGTCATATACATACTTGATTCTTCTTCCTCTAGAGATAGAACCATTTTCCAATAATAAATTCAGTCTTTTGGTACACAGAACTACAGTTTTTCAATTTTGAAAATGTATTCAGATTTCCACTGTTGTTAAAAAAAATCCTATTTTCTGCTTTTACTAGAGTTAATTACGGTGGCCGACAGGTGCGATTCAACGGCCCAAAACACTTCCATTAGGAAACACGCGATGCAGTTTCAGAAACGATGCAGATATAAAAACACAAATGTGTCCAAACAAGACAAGTGTTGTCAAGTTGGTGAAGATGTTTATTTTATTTGCATGTGTTTTGCCATATTTGTGTTTTTTTATTTGCATATTTTTTTAAACTGCAGCGCGTTTCTCCTAATGGAAATGTTGTAGCGCGTTTACACCTGTAAGCCACCGTAGTTAATAATTTCTTGAGACCAACAAAGTGGTTCAATAAAAAATACTTCCAAATCAAAATGAGAAGCATGTTTTAGACTAGCAGCTCAGACAGCAAATACCACAGTCACCTATGGTCTGTTTAATATGATAAAGTGAGGTTGTCAAGGTGTTTTCTGGGTGTTAATACCAGGATACAGGGGTTTCCATTGGTAGTTTTTCCCATTGTAAAGCTGCGAGTTGAAGGACCAGCACTGCTCCTCTCTGAAGCTCCTCCCAGTGACAGGACATTCCTGCAGTGCAGAGACAGCACAGACCATTAAAACAGGTCTGTTTCACACTTGTTAAGACTCGGTTTAACAGTATTTAATACACATTAAGAAAATATAAGCGCTTATTTGTGCAGGGATAGTTTTCTGAGCCCCGCCCAGCTTCACTTTCAAACAGCTACATACAGTCACGCCTGAAGGCCGCCAGCACCAATCACAGAGCTTTACTGTCAGCCAGTCAGAAGGACTGTGCTTGTTTTGATAATGATGTGAAATACAGTAATGAGAAATTAACTGGAAGCCTGTGACTCACATCTGTGTTGCAGAGTTGATATTTCTTTGCGGTTCCTGTACAGGTCATGTTGTCTTTCCCAGCAGCAACTTTCTTTCTTTGGAAAAAAACCAAACATTTGGAGAGATTACATGAAATTAAAAAAAGATTTGACGAAACCATAATGAATAAAACATCAGTTTTAGGCTGTCAGCTGTTCTTATATTAGAGTTGCCCTATTCTGCTAATTTTTCACATTTAATATTTGTATGTTGTGCTTCTACTGTGACATGCCTGCATGCTTTAATGTTCAAAAAGATTTGTTGACTGACCGACCTATGTTTTGATAGGTCCACCATTTAGAGATGTTCCGCCACTAAGCCTATCACGTACAGTGTGTTGAAAAGATATCAAATAGGACCGTGAGTGTTACATAGTGATGTCACTAACGTTACAGAAGTAAACAAAAGAGTCAAATGGAGGCATTTCAGGCGTTTGGGAGTGTGTGGGAGAGAAACTCCCTCTGGAGGGAACACAGGGATATGCTTCATTTTGTGGGGACAGAAGTCTGTTCAGTCACATTGCGAGAACTTAGTTTTATGAGAGGACTGACCTCTGTTTGAGGCAGTGTCTCTCCTGTGACATCACTCCCCCTCCACAGGCACGAGTGCAGGCTGTCCACTTAGCCCACTCCCCCCACCAATACGTGGTTACCTCCAGCTCGTCCTCCAGACTGTTGGACACCACACCATCCTCCTGTAAACATACACACACACACACACACACACACATGCAGATAATTGTAATTGATTCTTGTAGCAGTAATCATATGAACACAATCAAAACCTGGAAGCAGCTTTTGACAAAATACTTAAATAAATAAGGTGTGTAATATTCCATTTATCCAGTGGGGGACCCAGGCTGTCTGAGGGGTGAGGGCAGAACAGACAAGGGGACGCAAGCTGAGTGCATCATAATAGCCTCATCCCAATACCCCTCCTCGACTTCTCCTTTCCCTCACTCACTTCCGTTCCTTGCGTCTTAGCTCCGCCTCCGTAAGATGCGAGCGAGAGACACGAGGAGGTGACGCGAGGACAGAGGAGTCCTCAGGTATTAATTGGGATGTCCTCGTTCACTCAAACGTCACTTTTAAACGACGTTTGTTAATGATGACATGTGCACAGCTGGATCCCCTCTCATCGGGCTTAACCATAGGGCTTAACTGAATAACCCTTTAGAACCGGCCCATTTCTGGTTAAATATTTATTTAAATGAATGAATCTTTCTCTTGTTAGTCAAGGAATTCAATGTATGATGGTTGGTCCTGCTTTTGTGTTCCGTTTTGGTGTAAAATGTAGCCTACATTTAAATACAAATATAATTATAGTAATGTGAAAGCCTTTTAGAAATGAATTGCACATAATAATTCCCACGGAGCTGTGAGCATTTATACATTTATGTGACGCTTTTCCACTCATCTTCCAGTTGTCGGTTTTCCTCTGTTGAAATCGACCAGCTGTGAAGGTGGGGGCGGGGCTTTTATACACGAGTAGTGAAAACACTTCCGCGTAGTATGCTCGCGTGTATCCTCCCTTTCGTCTCCTCCCGCACCCCTCCTCCCTCACCCCTCCTCGACTCCTCCGTGTGCATTTCAGCTATTGGGACGTCCTTCAAAATGGCGTGTCTTGATCGATTTCCGGGTCAAGTCCCGGAGGAGGGGAAGAGAGGAGTCGAGGAGGGGTATTGGGATGAGGCTAGAGTGTAACTTAGAATGTTGTGGGATGGATCGACACAGCATGGGCTTCAGACCGACACCACCTTGTCGGGATTCAGAAGGCCATTCCAAGCAGGACACGCATCGACATGGAAGTGTTTAACAGCGACACAGAGGATGAAGACTTCAGTGGATAAATGTAACTTATACACCGAAGCGACTTATATATGTTTTTTTACTCTTAACGGCACATTTACAAGAGCGAATTATACACAGGTGCAAAAGTCCGGAAAATACGGTAGTCTTTATTAAAATTAAATACTTTCTTTCCTTTTTTGGTAAAGAATGTCAAAATATGGAGCTAATTTTGTCATGCATTAATAAAGGAAAACTAGTTAAATGCTTGCATAGCTTAAAAAAAGTCATTGCTAAAGTCATTCAATTATGAACAATGAAATATCAAGGTATTCTATATTTATTCAGCGTTGGAAGAAGTGAAAGAAAGAGCATTTAAGCATTGTAGTTTGACAACGTGGACCAAATGTAGATACTACAAATGATATGTAGATAACTGGTACAGTACTGCAATATATCATAACAGCATATCAAGTTTTTTATATGTGCAAAGTAACTAGTAATTGTGAGTGTTAAAATAAATGTAGTGGAGTAAAAAGTAAAATATTTGCCTCGATATTTAGTTCAGTGGAAGTACTGTATAGAGACGCAATAAAATGAAAGCACAAATATATCAAAAAGTACTTAAATACAATACTTACATATGCTCAATTACACCACTGTACTTATTTGAAGTTAAGATAATAAAAAAATATATATTTCGAAGTAGACCACTGGATTTTGTCATTGAGTGTATCAATGTGTATTTCTAAAGATGTGTTATCAAGATAAAGTTATCTTTTTTCTTTGTATATAATGCCCTCAGTTCGGTATTATATTATTTTTGGATGTTGTTGTTGACATAGTTGTTCAATAACATTATTTTTAAAACTCTGAGACTTTCTCAACGACGCCGTAAATCAATATTTGTGCACATGCACAGAACCGATCGGGTTTCCGGTACAGATCAGGTAGTGAAAGGCTATACTGCACTGCATTCTGTCTTCTTAATTGAAAGGTCCTCTCGGGCGCTTCATTCAATTTTCTCCACTGAAAGGCACCCTAGAGGTCAAATTATCACATTTTGTCCACTGGAAGGGCACTCGGAGAGCATTTCTTCACATTTTCTCGACTGGAAGGGCCCTCAGAGGAACAATGTTATGACCTCCACTGGAATGGAAGTTCTTTACACAACTTTACTGTGAACGTTTTTTCCACTTCTGATTTAAAATAGAATTGTGTCTGCCATTGAGCTATTGTGATATAAAAACATAAAACTAGTATTTGTTATAGTTTAAGAAACAGATGTGGTACTTTCAACAATGTTAAAAACATTGTACAGTTGATTGGACAGTCAGAACAGGGGAGTATGTCACATCCAAATAGAATCCCAATAAATGACTGTCACAGTGTTTTGTTCTGGGCCACCGACGTGTGAAGACGCTCAGCATTTCACAAATTCCTGATGTGCCTACTAAGCAGCATTAATTTAGGCCAATGGCTGCGTCCCTTTATTTAGAGAGATTAATCAGGGCGACCGCTGGAATGTTCACTGAGCTCCTTGTAAAGGTGTGAGACAGAGCAGCTGTGAGGAAGGGCGAGAGACACTGAAAACACCAGACAGACCAGTAAGTGAGAGAGAGACAGGGAGATAAGATGGTTACAGAGAGAATTGATAGCAAAGAGAAAGGTTAGAAAGAGAGAAGAAGAGTAACTGAGTTGTCGACAGCAGCTTATCCGAGTCATCAGATGACTTTAATGCCTTTTTATAATATATTTTGAGATCAGTCTCACTACAACAATTGCCTGTTTGAAACCATTGAACATAATGATATAAACCTGTCTGTTAATGAGACAAGGTATCCTAAACAAGAGTGCACATCCTGATAATGCTGCTGTAGAGACCTTTGAGGTGACTCTATGAAGGAGTTACAGTACAGTACATCTCAATGAACTAACAATAGAGGTATCAGCAGGACTTTTTTATAAAAAATGATAACCTCCTGTAAATATTGCATCAGAGATCAGTTTAATACAATTATCTGTATTAAGTGTATACATTTGCAAGAATTATCAAGTATTGTATTATGATGTTACTTAATCATGATGTGACTGAACCTGAACTTAGTTACCATCCGGCAGAGGTGAAATATTTGTACTTAAGGAGACCCTCTGGTTAACAAGGGTCAACATTTTAACAGAGATATCCCCATGAAAGTAGTTATTGGTCACATTAAAACAAGTTATCGGCTACTTTACCTGAACGTTGGATAAACCCAGGTTCAAAATCTTTGTTTGATTTTGTTGATGTGTTAGAGTCAATGGTGTTTCAGAGGGAATATTAGATATCTCTTAGTATCACTCAATGGAAACGTAATGTCAACAGCCATAACGAAGACAAACTTTTCCGCATGATTTTAAAGAATGAAGAAGATGGCTGATATAAACTAAGCCTACGCTTCACTTAACAAGATAGCAGTGATATTGTGACCGGCACTCAGACTTTTTAGTTTCATCGCATGTTGCATAGTCTTGCCGTGCTGTTGGAAAGCAGCTTTTTAGACTATATGGCTAAGTTTGACACATTGTTCCTTTTTAAGATACTAAAAGTAAAACAGCAAATGTCCAAAATTCTCCAAAAATTAAGAGATTGAACTATATCCATTCAGGACTGATGGGTAGTTCCTAAAACTTCTAGATATTAAATATTTCCTCTGGTAGAAACTTTTCAGATGTCTTTTACCTGATTTAACACTTATCCAAATGTTTTTACTTTTCAGATCTGGTATTTTGTAACCTATTCTTTTGACTTGCAAATCATCAATAATTAGGCTGCAAACTAACAGATTTCCAAAAATGTCTGAATATGTCGAAGTAGGCTAATGTGTGATGCGTACCTGCAGCATCTTGTTGGACGGGATCCCCACTGACACTGCCAGCGTCAGAAAGCCAAGAAGTACCACGCCCGTCTCCCTACACTGTTCCCACGACAACACCCTCATCCTGGTGAATCAGAGACACAGACAAAAATAAATACAGGTTTGATATGTGGACCTTACTGGTATTAAAGGTATCCATGAGAAAGACATTAGACCATCTCCTCCAGGCACTTTTCCTTTGTGTGTAAAGAATATATAGTTGTTTCCTTTTGGACATGTAAGATGAGCAAAACTTGCCTGGGAACTAAAAGAATCAGACGAATCTGCGAGCTCATGTTTTATTTGCGCTGGCAGATGCGCCTGGCCCCCTTCCACTTGAACAAATCCCACCGTCATTTTCTAAAAGAATAAAGATAACTGCAGCTGATGTGGACATTTAGTTAAGACTGCTAAGGATCGGTTTCACAGACTAAATATGTGACCTGCTCTATCAAATTCAGTCACACCAACCCCGTAACATATTTTGAGTTATGTACACTGTTGGTAAGAGGAGATGGGATTCTTAGTTTTACTATGATATCCTTATTGTTTTTGTACTCCAAATATTCAGCAAAATATTTCACATAAAATTATGACTGTTACCAAGACACAATATTGTTACAATTATTTTTTTATTTAGTGATATAGCAATTACAGGGCATACAAGTACAGTGGCACAAATACACACAAGAGAATAACTAGAATGCACAAGTAAAGACAACTAACAATTGACAAAATACACATACACAAAAAACCGGTGTAATTATGTGTGTGTGTGTGTGTGTGTGTGTGTGTGTGTGTGTGTGTGTGTGTGTGTGTGTGTGTGTGTGTGTGTGTGTGTGTGTGTGTGTGTGTGTGTGTGTGTGTGAATATGGTCCCCAAATGTAACCTCCTAGACAGGAGTCCGTATAGGAAGTACCCACGGGGTAGCAGAAACAAGTATGTATGTGTATGTATGTGTGTGTGTGTGTGTGTGTGTGTGTGTGTGTGTGTGTGTGTGTGTGTGTGTGTGTGTGTGTGTGTGTGTGTGTTTGTGTGTGTGAGATTGAAAGATGAGAGAAAAAAAATAATAATAATGAAAGAACTATAATAATGCAAATAATATGAGTGACTATAATAGCCATTTAGTGTAAATATGCATTTGAAAAATAAGATTAAAAAATATAAAATAATTATAACGGTAATAATAGTAATATGAATGATAATAACAATAACAAGAATAATAATAACAACAATAGAAACCCATGAATTATTTTACAAGTGGATGGTTGTTTGGTGTGTGCACTGGTTTGGGGCATTGACTGTATGTAGAATTTTTTTTTGGGGGGGGGGGCAGGCCCGGATCAGAACTTAAGGGAGCAAGCCCAAAGAGCAGGCCATGTGGCGCAGTGACAGGGAGGCAAAAATTCCCCCCCGTACCAGACCTTGTTAAGTGGAGGCTGATCTGTTCCAGGGTTTGCTCAGACACGATTCTGACAAAGCCCTTCAGAGTTTGTTGACAATATTTTAGCTTTAATTATTTCAAGAGGGGGCTCAAGGCTGTATTGTGGGGGCATCGTACCCCTTGCCCCCCATTAGGACCACCACTGGATTAGCTTTGATTCTGAAATCTGATTTGTCTATAACAAAATGTGTTTGCAGGCTGCGCCTCTCATAATAGTCAACAGTCAGCTGCCCATTTTTCACGCAGATTTTTATGTATTTTTTAATTGGATCAGGGAAGTGCGGACGAAAGTTGGTGGGTGTGCGTTTGTGTGATTAAGTGTGTATTATCCAAGGAAACACACACCACACACACCGCCTGTTGTAAAGTTTATACCTTGAGAATCTCTGTTTGCTGCTCGTCACTATATATTTTCAAGCTTCAACGCTGTATTTATAATTTCTAAATAATATTATAAGATTCTGAAAGCCAATAATCAGATGAAAACCCCCTGTCTCGTACCTTGCTGTGTTAATATCATTAATTCGTTATTTTTGGGAGACGTGGAGTAAATGAGATGGTGATCGCTGAAGTTGACACTCTTGACAAGCTTCAAAAATATATTTATTGTCTCCATATGGGAATGCAAGTGTGATATTCTGAAAGCCAAGACTTTGTTTGCTTGGAATCAGCCAAAACCCTAAAATGACCAAAGCATGAGTTTTTCACATAAATCGAGTTTAACTCGGAATGACTGATTTCATTAGAGTGGGTCAGATATAACAGTGGTTTGTTGACTACAAGTTGAGGTTACTGAGTTCTACTGGCAATCAAAGCGTAGCCCCCCAGCTAGCGGGGAACGTTCTCACAACTTTGGCTAACATTACCTACAGGTTCTAATAATGTTTTAAAGAAACGTTTTAATCTGATGTTTAAATAACCTTTTTAGGATGTTTATTATTTCAAATAATGTTCCTATAAGGTTAACTAAGACATAACGTTTTAACTAAGACATTCAGAGGATGTTTTGAGGATGTTATTGAGGAATGAGATGAATGAAAGTTTTTTTATAAAATGTTCCTTTAATGTGATATGTTAACAAAGGTAAAACATTTTGCCTGAACCATTCTAAGGATGTGTTTTGGACATTGTTGGGGTAATGATGTTCCTTATAAAACGTTCCCTCAATGTTACATGATAACAAATGAAGAACATTCTCCAAGAAACATTCTGAAAATGTTTTCAGGGTGTTATTATGTTTTTATAAAACGTTCCTGTGATGGCAAATATTAACACGGTCTTGGTCAACGTCAGATTTATTTCTAGAGCGCTTTTAAAAACAAACTTGTTGCATTTGTTTGAAAAGGATGTTTTAAAAAATCTGATGTCACCATATTTTCCTTTTGAAAAAAACAAACAAGCACGTAATTCATGATAACCCAGCTAGCGGGGAACGTACTCACAACTTTGGCTAACGTTACCTACAGGTTCTAATAAGGTTTTAAAGAAACGTTTTAATCTGATGTTCAAAGAACCTTTTTAGGATGTTTATTTTTTCAAATAATTTTCCTATAAGGTTTAAGGTTAACTAAGACATAACGTTTTAACTGCAATATTCAGGGGATGTTTTGAGGATGATCCTCAAAACATCCCCTGAATATTGCAGTTAAAACGTTATGTCTTAGTTAACCTTAAACCTTATAGGAAAATTATTTGAAAAAATAAACATCCTAAAANTGGGTCAAATTAACAGAGGAAGAATTCAAAGCAACCAGGGTAAGGTTATAACAAATATGCTGTTTTAATGGTAAAATATACAATATAACAATATCAANATTAAGGCCTGAGATGACAGAAAGTTTTTTTATAAAACGTTCCATTAATGTGATATGTTAACAAAGGTAGAACGTTTTGCCTGCACCATTCTAAGGATGTGTTTTGGACATTGTTGGGGTAACACATTAAAGATGTTCTTTATAAAACGTTCCCTCAATGTTACATGATAACAAAAGAAGAACATTTTCAAAGCAACATTCTGAAAGTGTTTTCAGGATGTTATTGAGGCCTGAGATGACAGAAAGTGTTTTATAAAATGTTCCTTTAATGTTACATGATAACAAATGAAGAACATTCTCCAAGCAACATTCTGAAAATGTTTTCAGGATGTTATTCTTTTATTATAAAATGTTCCTGTTATGGCAAATATTAACACGGTCATGGTCAACGTCAGATTTATTTCTAGAGCGCTTTAAAAAACAAACTTGTTGCATTTGTTTGAAAAGGATGTTTTTCAAAAAAATCTGATGTCACCATATGTTCCTGAAAAAAACAAACAAGCACGTAATTCATGATAAGCTGTAAGCAGATATTGCATGTTTGCGGTGGCATGTGTGAGTTCCCAGCTAGAAATGTTTGTAACCATTGTACTGTATGGTATGTGGAACGTTTTCAGCGGGACGTTTTATTTTGGTTCCCAGAATGTTCTTCTGAAAGGTAGGCTAACATTCATTAAAAACATTCTTGAAATGCTTGGTAATAACCTTCTCGAAATGTTTTTGATAACCTTCTTAATTTTTTTTTATAAACCTCTTATTATGTGGTTGATAACATTGTTACAACATTATGCCCTACTGTTCTTAAAACGTTTTCAGCGGGACGTTTTATTTTGGTTCCCAGAATGTTCTTCTGAAAGGTAGGATAATGTTCTCTAAACACATTCTTAACATTTTTGGTGATAACTTTCTTAAGATGTATGAGCGCATTGAGACAATGAATAGGACGTATAAAAACTAATGTATGCATGCCAATATTCACTCACATGCACTTATATTCACACTAAGGTATGTAGGCCCACAGTACTCATATCATTTGTGTAAAATATCCGAAAATAATCACAATTTTTTCTGATGATATTGGTGGTGTCTCGTATGTAGGTTCTAACTGTTGGATAAGCTATCTGGCCATGTGTGGTTTGTGAGGGCTGCGTATACAGTAAACAGTGTCCGCTGTTTATACATATTGGATAAAAATTAGTTATTTTAGTATTTGTAGACCGACAGACATA